GCGGCTGCTCGGAGGAATTGCAGCCCCGGCTGAGCTCTGCCCTCAGTCCCCCTCTGCTCCAGCTGAAGAACCCAAGTGGCGCAGCCTCTCCTTGGTCCCTCCAGGCCCTTCCCCACCCTTGCAGCCCTCTCAACCCACCCTGCTCTTGAAGGTGAGAGCAAAAGCTCTGGGTTCCCCTACACTGGTCTCATCTCTAGGGTCACCTGTTTGCCAGCACAAACAGCAGCACAGAGAATCCAAGACAAAAATACATGAGGAGAAAAAAATGTGGGGGTTTTGGCCACTCTCCACCCTGGGGAGTGTCACTATGAAGCTTTACAGATGTAAGACCAGGCTGGATGGGACTTGGAGCAGCCTGGGCTAGTAGAGGTGTCCCTGCCCATAGGGGTGGGACTGGATGTGCTTTAAGGTACTTCCCCAACCCAAACCATTCCATGATCCTCTGACACTCGTGTCAACAGGGTGGGAGGGACGCAACAAGTGGCTGTGGTGGATTTCCAACCCATCTCCTTCCTTTCTCCTTTCTTTCTGTACTGCCAGCTGAAAACTGCTGTGCTAAACCAACCCCACTTGAACAAGAAATTAAGGATGAACTTAATTATTAAGGCCAGAAGCTGTCATTAAGGACATTTGGGCTTAGGATTTTATCTCTCCATGATCAAACATTTACTGTGACGACACTTGGAATGCCTCAAACTGAGCAAACAACAGCAAAGGCTCCAACCAAAGACAGTAATGTCAAGTCAGCTGATAAAGAGTTACGCAAAGGCCACGCAATTCCAGGGCTTTTATCAGGAATAAATACAGCCAAGGTCTGCAGGGATGGGAACACCAGCCCAGAGAGGGCCAGAGGGTGGTGATCCTGGTGTGGATTGGCTGGTTGGGCAGGGAGGAGGCTCACACAGCAGGGCATGATGCTGGCAAAGGTCACAGAATCAAGGCTGGAGGAGACCTTCAGGCTCATCCAGTCCCACCAGCACCACCATCCTTGTCCTTAAACCATGTCTAAAGTGCCACATGACACCTCTGGGACACTCCCAGAGACAGTGACTCCACCATCTCCCTGGGCAGCTCATTCCAAGGCCTGAACACTCTAGCAGGGAAAACTGTTCAAATACCTAATCTGAACCTGCTCTGGAGCAACCTAAGGCCATTTCCTCTCCTTCCTTCCCCTGGGACATGGCAGAAGTCAGAAGGCAGGTTGGGAGCTGATGGTCTCCTCCAGCCACTTGCTGGGAAGGGACAAGAGGGAAAAGAGAGGATTTTGCGTCAGTGTCCACTGTGCTCCTTCCTTCTTGCAGAATAAATTGATAGGATTACAGACTCCCAGACCAGTTTGGGTTGGAAGGACCTCACAGCTCATCCAGTGCCACCCCTGCCCTGGGCAGGGACACCTCTCACCAGCCCAGGCTGCTCCAAGCCCCATCCAGCCTGGCCTGGAACACTCCCAGGGATGGAGCAGCCACAGCTGCTCTGACCAACCTGTGCCAGAGCCTCAGCACCTCACAGGGAGCAATTCCTGCCCAATCTCCATCTGTCCCTGCCCTCTGGCAGTAGGAAGCCATTCCCTGTGTCCTGTCCCTCCATTTCTTGTCCGAAGTCCCTCTGCAGCTCTCCTGGAGCCCCTTGAGGCACCGGAAGGGGCTCTGAGGTCTCCCTGGAGCTTCTCCTCTACCCCTCCAGGCCCTCTCCAAGGAGGGGAAGGAAAGAGCCTGGAAGCTGACTGCACTTTCACCCCAAACTGTGTTGCTGCAGGTCTGACCCGCTGAGGATATGAGCCGGGAATGTGGTACAGGAGTTAGATTATGTGGGAATGTCCTACCAACAGGAACAAATCATGTCTACCTGTTACTTTAACTTTCCTCCCAAGCACCATTCTCCTCAGGATGTAGACATAAAGGGACATTTTTGTAGGTGTGTCACTGCCTACAGCAGCTAAACATTCCCTGTGAACCACAGGGAAGGACATTGGACTAAGTTTTGCAAAGGTGGAGCTCAAAGTTGAGAGTACAAGTCACAGTGAGAGGTAAAAGGTGTCAGGAGGAGGTGTCAGGAAGATGAAGTCCATTCGCTCACACTCAGATCTAGCTCTGTGCTCTTCAAACAATTCTGGCACCAAAACTGCCACGGTAACTCCATCTGAAGTTAACACAAACCTCTGTTCAGCCCCTCATAAATCCCTGGTGATTGCTGGAAAGGACCCATGAAAACTTGGGGGTTTGCACCTGGATACAGACAAGGCTGGAAATATTTAAGTTCACCTTTACGAGTTTCAGTCAAGGTCAATCTAGAGCTCAGGAACAGCACTAAAATGGCTGAGCAGGGGAGACAAATTCTTCCCTTCAACCCCCAAAGAAGTCCAACTCCTCCTAAATCCTAGGTTCCTCCTGGCTGAAGATTTCCCTCCCAAAGCACAGGTGAGCCCATGCCTAGGGATTCATTCCACATGGGAGATTCCATGGCTGGAGCTCAAGCATCTCCTACTGGTGAGGGTGAAGTATTTTTCATGGAATAACAAGCTGAGAGGAATCAGAGCAGTTTTAAGGACACAGCCTGCAAAAACCTGCTGGAATTCCCATTCCACACCTGGCACTGACTCTATTTGGCACAAGGGTAAGGATTTTGGGCTTCCTGATCCTGTCAGGCTCTTCTTTGGGCCCTCAGAGGCCAAACAGAGCCACAAACTACCATGACTGGTCAAAGGAATCTAGGGCAAAAAGTTCTTTTCAATACCTGGGATGAGGAATTCCAATGGTATTCCAGTACATTACCTGACAGGATTTGTGTTTCCACATGAAATAGGCACAAAAAAAAGCTCTACTTCCACACAAACATGGATGCAGAAATGCATGGATACAATCCAAGCTCACCTGCACCCTATGTGATAATTCCACGTGCTATCCCACATTCTACAGTGAATGCTGAAGTTTCAAGTTGTTTCCAGTCTCTAATTCAGGATCTGTTATATAAAAGCCACAGGAATCCCTGAGTAATTCTCTCTGGGTTGGGACCAATTCCCTGGGAGCCTCCAGACAAGTAGGATCTTCCTGGAATGCATTCCTTAGGATGCTCAACTTGAAACTCTTCAAGCTTCATTTCTCCAGCCTATTAACCAGGAACAGCTTCAGTCACAGCACTCAGAGCTCACCATGTTAAGCCAAGAGCTCCAACCAGGCAGTCAGGACACAAACATTCCATATCACAAGGGAGATCACATACAATGAGTTACACAAATTGTGTATTTGCGCAGACATTTTTTGCCTTTTTCAGTGCATCTAAACTCTACTTAACATGACCAAAACCTTCCAAAAATTGTAGTCATCATCACCACAATCCTTTCACACTAAGGGCTATGACTTTAGCTCAGGCACCACAAACAACTCCCTGGTGAGTTATCCAATCATCACCATCATAATCCCTGCACATTCACAGCTGTGATTCCAGCTCGAGGACCACAACAACTTCCTGGGTGAGTTACCAAATGTAAACATGGTCATTTTTTACCTGAATTGGAGATTTTTCCATTGTCAGCTGTTCCTGCGTTTCCTGGAGCCACAAAGACATGTTTCACATGTGGAGATTGAGCCAACTTCCAGGCCAAGGCATGCTCCCTGCCACCACTGCCGATGACCAGCACCTGCTCGGCCATGAGTCTGCAGGAAAACACAAGTAGGAGACCCAAAATTAGCTGGAGGAGGGGAGGAGGGAAGAGCTGCAGAGGCCACCAAGGGCTGGGGAGCTTCATCACATCACAGATACACTCGTTGCCAAAGCCTGAGCTGCTCCAGAACACAGCACAAGCCATAGGGTGACGGATCCCAGTTTTTAGGCACATTGGAAACTGCTCCCAGTTATTCACAAGTCAGGGAGAAAGGGAAAACCTCAATGAGTGACCAGCATGGGATTTGCAGCCTAGGGAATCATGGACTTACAGACTGGTTTGGGTTGGAAGGACCTCAAAGCCCATCCAGTGCCACCCTTGCCCTGGGCAGGGACATCTCCCACTAGCCCAGGCTGCTCCAAGCCCCATCCAGCCTGGCCTGGAACACTCCCAGGGATGGAGCAGCCACAGCTGCTCTGGGCAACCTGTGCCAGTGCCTCAGCACCTCACAGGGAGCAATTCCTGCCCAATCTCCACCTGTCCCTGCCCTCTGGCAGTGGGAAGCCATTCCCTGTGTCCTGTCCCTCCATCCCTTGTCCCAAGTCCCTCTCAGCTCTCCCAGAGTCCCTTGAGGCACTGGAAGGGGCTCTGAGGTCTCCCTGGAGCTTCTCCCCCCAGGCTCAGCCCCCCAGCTCTCCTAGCCCATCCCTAGGCAGAAGCTGCCCCAATCTCCTGCCCTGCAGCAGGAGCAGATCCCAGACTGGTGTGTGGCCCTGGGAACGGGCAGTGTCCCTGGCACAGTCCCAGCACACGTCACACCCCGGAGTTCTCTGACCTGCCGTGTGAGCAGAGTCCCAAGGGGAGCAGAGACAAACCCCATGAGCACACACAGCCCCATGAGCAGAGACAGCCAGCTCTGCCCTGGCAGGAGCACAGAGGCTGGATGACTGCACAAAGCACATCTTACGCAAAGAAAAGAGAGGGAAAACACAGCCCAACCCAACAGATCTCGGAAGGCAAAGCTCTGATCAAAGCCAGCTGAGGGCAGAGCTCTGGCTCCGTCAGCTCTACAGCTTGACTCGACTACAGCTGCTCTGATAGGGCAAAATACCTGCATTAGGTAAAACATCCAGTGAGAGGAAAGTCAGAATAAACATGGATCGAAGGCTAAATGCAGAAAACCAACACTGAGCTGTTCACTACCAACTGCACACAGAGGAGATAAGGTCTAACAGCAGTTTCAGCCTGGAGAGACCAAAACGTTTCTAATCAAGTGTCAGACAAAATATACACATTGTCACCTTGAAGGTGTGTATTAATTCCAGATTAATTTGGTTTACATTACAAAGCTTCAGGATTAGTTGCAATAAAACCCCCACAGTGAGCTAAGATGGATCAGCTATAAGTATTTGGGTAACCAAGTTATGCTCAACCTCTCTAAGAGTCACAGAATGATCAAGGCTGGAAGATACCTCTAAGATCAGAATTGATCTATAAATCATCTATTCATCGCAAATAAATGAATAAATCATCACGATTGAGCTCATTGATCAATCTATAATTGATCAGTTATAGACATTTGGGTAACAGGTTAAGTTTAACCTCTTTGACAGTCACAGAACCATCAGGGTTGGTTGGAGGACACCTCCAGGATCATCAAGTCCAACCATTAGCCTGTCACTGCTGGAACCCTAAACTAGTTGGTATTACAGCTGAGCAAAAAGAAAAGAGAAAAGGGACACAGGAGATGGATGAATTCAAGCCAAAAATGAAGAATAACCTCAAAGAATTGATATTTGCCATGTAGCAGGCAGAAATCTCCCTCCCTGAGGTCAAACCACGCTGCCAGTGCAGTCCAGAGCCAGTGAATTGTCACTTTAAAGGCAAACAATAATCTGAACTACACAAAAAGGACAATTTTCTGCCAAGCCCTTCAGACCTGAGCGATTTGAAGCCAAGCAGAGACTGTACTTACTCTATCTCAATGGGACCAGGCTGAGGAGAGCAGGACCCAGGGGCTCAGAGGCACAAAGGGAAGGGAGAGCAGCAGCTCTGGGTTAAAATGTCCTTCCCTGCCCCAGCACTCCCACCCCACTGGTGACACCCTGCAGGCAGCCAATCAGCAAGAATGCCCAGGGAACAGGGGGCATGAACTTCCCAACAAATGCTCTAGGAGAGAGAATCAAAAGCTCTGCAGGGCAGGAGCAGCACAGCCAGTGTGAGATCAGCTCAGTCCCACCTCAGGTGTTGTTCTGGAGTTAAACACAGTTCGTTAATCAGGTTGTCAACAGGTAATCCTGATCTGAAAATCAGGCTCTGCGTTTTTGCTAAAAATAAAAGTGAGTCTTTGGACATCAAAGGTATGAAAGAATAAGATCTGTGATGCAAATTATCATGGAAGCACAGAACGTTTGGGCTAGAAGGACATTAAATCTCATCCTATCCCACCCCATCCATGGGCAGGGACACCTCCCACCAGCCCAGGCTGCTCCAAGCCCCATCCAACCTGGCCTGGAACACTCCCAGGGATGGATCAGGGCAACCTGTGCCAGTGCCCCAGCATCTCACAGGGAAAGGTCTCTGCAAAGAATCACTCAGAGTCCCTTCCTTTCCCTCCCTGGAGGAACAGGTTCTAGCACCACTATCAGCTGAAAAATCAGTACAATCTACAGCCAACTGGGAGCAAGGGAACAGAACAAACCATATCTCATGGGTGCCAATGAAATTTAATCATTTGGTAAGCAGATGAGTGAAAAACAAGTTTCAGGGGTTTGTTCTGTGGTTTGTGCATCCCACGAGTGGCATCCTAGCAAGTTTTATGTAGAAATGAAGCTTCAGAAGGACTTCTGGTGGCAATCACCCAGCTCAGGAGGCACAGACCGAGCTGTGGCAGCTCCTTTGTCCCCCTGCCACAGAAAGATGTGGAGGCTCCTCTGCCGCCCAGCAGGATCTTCCTTTAAGAGTGAAAATTCCCAGAGGAAACATTTTTTTTTATACTTATCACTAAGACAGGAGGCAAAAATTGGTACTCAGAAGTCGTAGAGGTAGATATTTGCTCTGTGAGGATCATCACCCACTCAGGCTGGTTGGAAGCAACATGTAAAACCCTTAAAGATTCCAAACCCTGGGATGTCATTACCTTTGGCAACCATTGCCAGCTTTGGCAAAGGAGGGAGAGATGGTTGTTTATAAGGTGTTTTAAAGTACAGATCAGTGACATTTCAGGAAAGGGTTTGTTACAGGTCCTTCTATGAACTGAGGACAGAAAAGAAGAAAGGAGTTAATCACTCCATGTTATCCAAGAGGAGAGAAGGAAGGAGAGAGTGAAGATGATTCCCAGTGCTTATCCCAGAGGTTGCCAGAAGAATCAGCAGGGATCAGCATCAGCCCAGAGACCTTTATCCTCCAGGACAGTCAGCAAGAAGGGCTCACCCACAAACCAGGGAACTCTGCAACTCTTCCACTTGACCTGTGGAGCAGAGAAAAGAAGGGAGTGAGGAAAACACAACAGCACTGAGAGCTTTCCCTGCCCTGACTCCTCCACAAGGAAAGGTGAAAGGCATTGAGGGGCTGGAGATGCCCAGGGCAGGGGACAGAGCTGGGGAAGGGTGTGCAGAGTCAGTCAGGGGAGCAGTGGCTGAGGGAGCTGGGTGGGCTTAGACTGGGGAACAGGAGGCTCGGGGGGAACTCAGTGCTCTCTCCAGCTCCTGCCAGGAGGTGCAGCCAGGTGGGCTCAGGCTCTGAGCATTATTATCCTGATCCAAGTGAACACACACCCCTGGCACACACAGGAGGGAGAGGGAAGTAGAGCTTGGAGGTGGAGAGGTCTTTGGGACCAATGGGAAGCTGCTCCAGGCAGGGGCAGCAGGAGCCACTTGTGAAACCTCAGTCGGTGAACCTGCAGCTCATCCCTGGGCTTAGAGTGGGACCAGCAGCTGGCAGAGATTCCCTGGGAAGGCCAGCCTGGAGCTCCCCTCATGCATGCTGGGATCTGGGAACACTCCTCAGGTGCAGAAGGGACCCAACCCAGGGAGCAGCAGTGCTGGGTTCAGCCCCAGGGGGACTGGGATCCTATCACCTACTCTGGGCCAGCCTGGGAGCCACGTACAGGATGGCAGGATCCTGGGAAGGAATTTCCAGGTTCTGGCTGCTTCTCCAATCCCTACTTGGATCTTTTATCTCATTACAATGGTGAAAAACTCACACAGACATCCCTGACTGCTGGGGCTGGAAACACACAGCACTGCACAGGGTCCAGGGAATGGCACAGCATTCCCACAGCTGCTCTGGGCAACCTGTGCCAGTGCCTCAGCACCTCACAGGGAGTAATTCCTGCCCAGGATCCAACTGAAACTTCCCTCTTTCAATCCATATCCATTCCTCCTTGTCCTGTCACTACAGTTCTAACTTCCTCACCCACCTCGGCCTCAGCCTGTCTGTGGGCACAGGGAGAGACAGCTCAGGGAATTAAGGCTGGAGAGGGGAAGAGATCCATGTCTCTCCATGTCTTTTTCCTCTGTGGTTCAGTTTCCAGAGGGAATTCACTGTGCCAAGTGTGGAGGCAGCTCTGAGGTACAATAACAATCAACCATGGCAACTAAACCTGCCAAATGGCCAAAACTGCAAGTTTAGGCTCATCCTGAAGGAAAACAACACACCCTTCGGAGCTTTTACCTTCCTTGGGCTAAGGAGTTGCTTAAGTAGTTCAGATTCCTCCAGGATCCGGTGGCAATTATGACCTTAAGTTAGAGCTTTGGCTTTAGAGGAGCTTCTGCTCCTGTCTTAGGCCCAAGCCCTGGCTCTCAGCTGGCCACGCCGGATTGCAGGAGTGTTTAAGTTGGAAGGAACTCAGGGATCACCTTGTTCCATCCTCTGCACATATGTGGTGTGTCAGGTGGATTTGTAAATCAGAATTAAAGGAGAAAAGTCATTAGTACATGTGTTTTCCATGGCCTCCAGGTGTGATTCTCCCAATAGCTGGACTGGGCTTTTCCTTAGGGAAAACATTCCCTCAGGTTCTGCTGCTATAAATAAATAGGATCCTGAAG